GAGAGGTCAGTGGGCGCCACTCGCCAGCCGTGGAAGGGAACTTCCTGTGGGGTGGAGCTGGTACCAGGGGGCCCGGGGGTGCAGGAGGCCAGGCTGGCACTGCCAGGGGGGCCAGGGGTGCAGGAAGCCGGAGTTGTGCTGCCCAGGCGGTTTGGGGTGCAAGGCACTGAGCTGATGATGCTGGGGAGCTGTGGGGTACAGGGCGCTGGGGTGGTGCTGCCAAGGGTCTCTGGGGTACAGGGCCCCAGGACAGGGCTGCACAGGGGGGCCGGCACAGTACTGCTGGGGGGCTCCGGGGCACAGGGTCCCAGGACAGAGCTACACAGTGGGGGTGGCACGGTGCTGCCAGGGGGCTCTGGGGTGCAGGGCCCCAGGACAGGGCTGCACAGGGGGGCTGGAATGGGGCTGCTGGGAGGCTCTGGGGTGCAGGACTCCAAAATGGGGCTGGTGGGGGGCTCCGGGGTGCATGGCCCTGGAATGAGGTTGCACAGGGTGGCTGGAATGGGGCTGCTGGGAGGCTCTGGGGTGCAGGACTCCAGAATGGGGCTGCAGGGGGACTCTGGGGTGCATGGCCCTGGGACAAGGCTGTGCAGAGGGGCTGCAACAGGGCTGCTGGGGGACTCTGGGGTGCACGGCCCTGGAGTCGAAGTGCCAGAGGGCTCCAGGCTGGTGCTGCTGGGGGGCTCTGGGGCACTGGGCACCAGGGTGGGATTCATGGGGGGCTTGGGGGAAGCAGGCTTCAGGGCAGGACTCCCAAGGGCCTCCAGAGTGCTGGGCCCCAGGGTGGGAGCCCCAGTGGGCTCCAGGATGCTGCTGGGGAGCCCCAGGGTGCAAGGCACTAGGGTGGTGCTGCTGGGTGGGAGCAGGGTAGCACTTCTAGCAAGTCCTGGGGTGCAGGGCACCGGGGTGATGCTGCTGGCGGCCCCCCGGGTGCAGGACACGGGGGTGGCGCAGTCATGGTCCTACAGGACAATTGGAGGGGTGGGGAGGTCAGGGCTGCCCTGCTCTTCCCCCC